CCAGAATAAACATTCCAACACAGATGTTACGTCAAGAAGAATGCTGTGTATCATTTATTGTTGCCCATGGACCACGCTCAATAGAATTGTAAGTCTCGAGGTTTTAATTTTCTCTTCATTCACAAATAATGGTTGTTCATCATGCTAATATTTATCAATTTTCTACACAAATTTCTCAGCTCGAAAATTCCTCATTTTAATATTAATTAGAATAGAAACTCCTTTTTTTTCAAAGAAACAAATAAATAAAATATGAGCAATCTTCGTTCCAGGATGTTGTAAGTTTCAGATAATTGAACTGAATCATATTGTAAAATGAAATTTCACATAATTTGAAATATTTTGTTCGCTCTCAAGTTACATCTTAGAAATGTAAATATTTTAAGTGAATTTAAAATCAATGTAGCGGATTTTCGTCGAGAAAATCCAAAAATGTTAGTGAATTGTCGAAGTGAACTGCGTATGCAAATTTCTGGATTAATTACAATACGCTTCGGTGCTTCAAAAGATACTAATAATATTGCAGATGCAGAGAGTATGATTTGAAACTTTAATTCATTTAAATTTAACACTTTAGTTTATACATAAAGTATAGTCGAGTAAATGAAACAAAATTTATAGCACTCCTACTGTAATGGTTTGCTCGATAAACAAGATTTGTTTCTTTGATGTTCAAAGATGACTTCTGTTTTTTATGACAAATTTATTTCATTCATTAATACTTTTATTAATGATTTTAGATAAATCGCTTAAATGAAGTCTTCTCATTCTCTTCCTCAGGGCACCCAAGCATTATTTGTTATCTCATCTTGGAGTTAAAAACGAACATCAATTTCAAAATTTTCACAAATTCATTTTAAATTAGATTTTTCTGTATGAAAATGTCTTATTGACCTCAAAATGTAATACTTGCAAAAAGTTAAGCTATTCGAGATTAAAAGATGAACCAATTAAGTGATCAATAATATTTAATGGAATTAAAGTTTTAGAAAACATATTAAGGAAGCCTTATTAGCTGAGTATATCTAATTTTTGCAGCAATACTGAAAGAAACGCAGGAAACAGATTTCGAAAACATATTTGTCATGCGTGGTACTAATCCATTTTTGGAATCACTGCACAATATTATTATGTTAGCGGAATACGGAAATGGTTTAATCGGTTTCAGCATTCTTATTTTATATCAAGAAGCAGAATTCATGCAATTTGTTGCACAGAAAAGCAGACTTCGATTACTGACATACGCAGAACTTCAGAATAGTCGACTGAATTCAAAAGCTTACAAGTAATTTTTTGATTAACCTAGTATGTTTAAATGTCTGTCCGGACTGTTGAAATACATTGAGTGAATAAATATTTTGGCAATTAATTAAGTTTAATTATTATTTACAGAGATTTCGCAGTATTTGGTATAAATACATATTCTATAACGTGTTCAAAATGGATGCTTTATATGAATACCAAATATTTTCACCGCTTAATCAATGAAAATCCAGCTGTTAATCATGCAACATTAAATTATCCCCATGATGTCATAGGCTATGTTAGTCAGAATTAGATGAATAGTTATTTAAACGATTGTTTTCACTAGACATCCTAAGAAACTTGACATTTTAAAGAAAAAACACGAGAATATAGATTATGAAAGTTAATTAGAAAGATAGGTTAACTACTTAACAAACGTGTAGTATAAACTACATGAATCAGACAATTACTAATTTATTGAATCCTTTTGCAAGCATTATTTCTTGATATCAATGTTTTTGAGATGACTTTGTTCCAGGCTCTTTCTTTAGCAGTGCAAAATCAATTTCATCAGGAATTGCAGAAGGATTTTAGAAAAATGCGTCAGACAATCGAATTACTTTGTATACTGGAACCGGTAAACGTAGATATAGCCATTGAAACCATTGCAATTGAACTTGAAGCTGCCATTTTCGATGTAAAATTTATCGCTAATTTCTGCATTTTATAATATTTCTTTATCAATTATTGACAAAAGCAACGTTGCCAATTCTGACTTTTGGAGAACCGGATAAAATTATTCCATAAGGCACCTAACCAAATTTAATCAGTTGTTTTCTAGATTAGTTATAAACAGCGCATAAGATTTAACTAAAGAAATAATAAGAATGCGAATTATTTCCATATTTAATCATAATTTCCCAATTAAGAATAATTGTAAAGTTGGTGAGAGTCATAATGTGTAGTAGATGTGATTATTTAAAAAAGCATGCTCGTCGAATTGGCTGTACTGTTATTGCTAACTGTTATTAAAGTAATATAAGCTAATTTACAAACATAATGAGTAATCTGCCTTCAAAAATTCTACAGACTTCTCAAATCATGATTTTGATAATAACTAGCACAAAATGATTCGTATAAAATAAAATTATATATCGAAGAAAAAAAAAAGTTGCAGGAATGGAGACATATAGACTTAAATGATCTAGTACGAATACTGACATTACCGAAATATTGGGAATTGGAAGAACTGAAAATTGCAGCGCGATCTATGATCATTGACCTTCATAGCAAACAGTTTCAGTAAGAATCCTTGCATATGTAAATTCTATTGTGCTAAAATTATTGGAGAATTATCCTCACTTGTAGCATTAGAAAGAAAATTGCATTCATTTTGTAAGCATAATTTGGAGATCGGTTAAGAAACTGCATGGTAAGAAGAAGAAAAACGTCCAGGAAATTCAACTTAAGACTACTGCCACTTTCTCCCTGTAACTTATTCTGCAAAGAAGCTCCGTTCTTCCGTAATTAGAAAGTGCCACAATTAAGTATCCTTTATATCAAAAAAGCATAATTATCTTGCTTAACCTTGTATTTCAATATGATTCAGCTAATAATATCATCCACCAGTACAAGTCTTACAACGGAATTCATAAATACAGTTATTGCACCTTTAATCCTCCAAAGTTTTACTGCAAAATTAAAACAGGACATGCTAACTAAGGAATTATTTAATTAAAATATAAGCAATTATTTATGAAAAACTTCAAAATAAAATGTTTTTACAAATAAAAATGTTTTGCAAATGTTTTACAAAATTCTTGTTTTACAAATTGAACAGAATAAGAATAATTTTTACAGGGAAGAGTACAATGAGCACTCAACAGGTGTACGATGTGCAGTATACCGGGATCTTATATTATGCGGCACGCTGGATGAAATATGTAAGCCAGTAGAAAGTGAACTTGAAAAGATCAAAAAAATGGGTTGGAAAATGAGTTTAGTGAAGAAAAGAGTGAGATTTGTAGAAGAATCATCCCAAAATAAGGCTGAAATAATGGCACATTAATGAGGATATCTGTATGGCTGAAAGAAAAAATAATAATTCAATAGTAGGACATCTTAATCATCTCATGATCTCATGTTATTTCTATAATTATATTCATCAGAATAATGAATAGAGGAACACAAATGTAAAACATTTTTTCTACGGTTTTATCCCGGGTAATACGCTTATCTTCTTGTTTTATTATCCGTGTACCTCCTGTTCATAACAAGCTCATCTCATCATCGAAATTTAACATTAAACTAGAACTTATACTTTATATTAGGAACAAATTTAAGCCTTACAACACTGCATATTTTTCGATCAGATGCCTCGAGTTATTGTTCATCCAGTCATCCTTATTATCATCAACTGACATTCAAATATCCGGAAAGCGGGAGGGATAATATGGTCACTTTCATCCAATATGCATTGCAGAAAACACAATACTGCTATAGAATATTATTTGTCAGGAGATTTTAGCAATACAATGACAATAGAAGACAAAATAAAAAGACAAAATAAAAAAAGATAAGAATGCGAGAAAATATGACTTTATGAGAGTGAAATATTTATACATATAAAAGAGAAAATGATATGAAATTAAGTATAAAAGGAATGAAAAGCACTCATTGAGAATTCATTAATAAGAGTGATTCTAGAGATATTTAACTCCTTCAAATAGTTCCCTTCATTCAACCCTAATTATAAACATCAAATAGACAACGATGGCTCAAAAATAACTTAAATAACTTCATCTTTACAATCACAAAGTTCCCAGAATTATTAAATCAGGCATTGATTATTATTTGCAACACTGTAAATAAAACTCTAAAGAATAATTGAGAAAAGAAAGAAATGTATGATTTATATAATATCAAAAAATTGATCGTTCTGGGGGAAAATCCAGCTATACTGCAGTACTAATCCAGCTATACTACAATGTATTATGTAAATTGTAAATTAATATCTTATTGTTGTAATAATAATAATGATAATAAATAATAACAATAATAGCTTCTTTGCTGCCTAAGAGGCATTTCAACATTAACTAGTCAGTATAGCCTGTACGGATTTTCTTCATTCTGGGAGCCGTGTTTTACGTGGAGTCTTTCATGTTGGGAGGCGTTAGCAAGTGCGAGAAGTCCGACAACAATTGCCTTTGGCTGTTTTCTTCCGACTAGTTGTTTAGTGGCAGGAGATAGGAAGTGGTAGCAGTGCATACAATATGCCTCTGTTTGAGTAATGAGTCAGGTTAAATTCCGTCAGTGGTGTTGAAGTTTTACTGTATTTAGCGAAGTACAGTGGTTGGAAATAGAAGAAACCGCAGGTTGCAAAAACAGCGTTTTATTTTACAATTAAGAAGGAGTTAAAGTTGAAAAGACATTTAGTAAACAATAAAATGAAACTGAGAAACAAAACGATAGTGGTGTTACATTTCACTTGTTGCTAATAGCTAAACAAGTATACAGCCAAGTTCGTTGTGGAAAGTGCACAATATTAAATATAGTCAATGGTTTTTATTTTGAAAGAAAAATAAGTTATGAGCAACGACCATATTCACAAAAAGAAGTAGTTTATCAGCACTGAAGTAATATTTGAGAATATGTCACTATAGTGCTAACAAATGTTGCATTAGCTTTGCTAAACTATTTGGTTGGTAGCATTGCCAAGCTGTTTCGATCCGGCGAAGCTTTGCTTAAATGGCGGAATGTGTATAAAGCAAATCACGAATAAAGTTCATTTAACTTTGGTTAGCTTTTTCCTTTGCATTTATCCTAATTATTTTTAGTTAAGTTAATCAAGTAACTTAATAAGAAATAAATTTCATTCATTAATTCAGGAAATCACTACACCTTATTTTATAAAATCGTGTTAACTCTGAAACTTTTCTATATTTCATTGTATTGGGATTTGCATTCATCATGCTATTCACTCATCCAAGATATTTTTTTCATGTTCATGTTAAAACATACTTCATTCATATCCCAATTGATTTTTTAAATTTTTCGACTTACTTTTTTCTTGCGATCACTCTTATTTACATCAGTAATTTGATGCAGTACAGCATGAAACATATTCAAAATTTATTTACCCCTTTTTTCTCTATCAAACATTGTGAAAATTGATTTCTTAAATATATTTGATTTAAATATATCTAATATATGTGCAATATATTTGATTTCCTACATAAATTTGTCCAATATTTAAATCTAAATTTTATTTCAGTATTTTTTTTTATTTCAGTAAACAGAATATTTCAGTGTTCATGCTCAGTAGGTTATGGTGGTGAAAAATGCGAAATTCTTTACTTTGGGAAGGTATTTCTTCATTACCGCAATGTAAGTATGTGTTGTATAAATGTAAGTATAAATGGATCTGCTATATGTCACTGTTCCATGGGATACTTCGGTCATAACTGCGAATATACTTTCGATAAGTTGGTTTATTCTTTTATTTTTGTTATTGTCTTCAAAAAATTTTGATTTCACTGCTATCAAAACCCTCTTTTATTTAATCTACGCTATGAGGATACTTTTATTATTTAAACATATCATTTTTGCTACTATGCTTCCATTTATTTCAAACATCTCATCACCACGTCTAATTTATCTTAGTTTGCATTTTTCTTGTAGTATGTTTTGAATTGCATCGTTTTATCTATCTTTATAGATGGAGTTAATTTGTAACTTTGAAATCAAATCAGTATTTAACTTTCTATAGTCTGCTTTTATTTTTTGAAAATAATTTATACGGTTGCTGATAGGTTAAGCTTGGCAACATTTGCAGAAATGGTGGTACTTGTATTGATGCTTTTGTGCTGATGGTATGTCTGTCAATTATTTTCTTATTAATCATCACACTAAAATGTCATGCAGTCAGAAGCTTTGGCATAATTTGCAATTTGTAGTCCAGTTTTTTTTTTTTTTTTTTTCCTTCTTTAGGGTTTAGCGGCAAAATTTGTGAGAAAGAGATGACTATTTACGAAATGTATGTAAGAACATCCGGAATTTTGTGCACTGCGTTTTTTGCTGATGGAACCTGTAATGAAGAATGTAATAATGAAAACTGTTTTTTGATAGTTTCGATTGTGTTGTGAGTATTCAAAAGTATAGGTAGGCGGCAGTAATTTCTTCCTGGTCATAAACAGATTTGATTGCATGGTATCGCAGAATCAAATTTAATCAAGTCTTAATTTTTCCCAACACTTTTTTTTTAAAAAAAAAAAAGGAAATTTATCATTTCATCTAGACTTTCTAATTACTATGTTTGCATTATTTGGGTGGGTAAGTGATGAAAAATGTGCAGATATGATGGTATAGATTGTAGTAGAAATATACTTCTTCGTAATCTCACAAATAGCAGTACCACTGGCATCGTTTTCAAAGGACCACCACTTAATGTTCTCGACAAAACATATTCAACTTCTTGCAAAACTTGCATAGGTAGCTAAGATTTTTTATGCATTATGAAAGTTGTGAATTATTCATAATATATATTATGAATAAGATCATAGGTGCATTAATACAAAATATCTAATATAGAGAATAGTAAAAATTTCCTATTTCATTTTCTAAATGATTCAACAAAAATTAAATAGTAGTCAAAATTTTCAAAAACTACATAATCCAGTACATTTGGCATTAGATAGCAACAACAAAGCTTGGATTTATGAGTGGTCATTTGAAAATGGAGTTGGGAAAGAGATCAATTTAGGAGAACTGGGAAGTGTCTAGAATAGTCCCAAATGGCAGTTAAAAGCAATGGGACTAGAATAGTCCCAAATGGCAGTTAAAAGCAATAAAATGCAACGATATTAAAGCAGTGTCAGTTATGGTGCTTCATGGGGCGGATGTGAATTGTTTTGATTCGATAAAAATACAGCTTTGCATCATGCTATAGTTGTTAAAGTGATCAGATTATTCGTCTATTGTTAAGTACTCACCGATGCATTGTAAGTATTTTATGATGAAGATTATCGAAATTTGGAAACAAATGAGTAGTCTTCTTCACATGGATGCAGCATCCGAAAGCTTGGTTAATGCTTGGTAAAAGTTTGATGCTTGAAGGAATGTATTATCAATATTAGTAGATACCATTTTCTCATGCCTCCATAAATTCTGTTTTAGTAGAGAATTTCGTTTTCAATTCGGCCTTACTGAAATAGACATTTCCAGTTTTTTTGCTATTTTATCGTAAGTATTTTCAAAGCTTATTAAATCTAGATTTATATAGTTGTGGATTGTAAATGTCTTGGGGCAAACAGTACCTATTTTAATTGTGAAATTTGCTTACGTCTCTGATCTGTGTGCATGTTGCATCCTTGACACCAAGTACTATCGACAAAAAGAAATGATACTTTCATGATTCCCTCACTTCCGCATGTTATTTTTTGTTTTTCGGTGAAGTTATTCAGCTGTTTTTGTTTAATATTTTATTTCAAATGATATATCATGAACTAGAAAAATGTATATGATATTCTATTTTCAAGTTTTATCTTTATTTTTTATGTATCTCGTAGCAGTACCATCTGATTTTTAATTTCCGGACAAAATGGTATCACGACTAATAACTTCTAATAATTACCGAGAATTTCGACCCTTCATCGATATGTGAAAGAATTTGAAATAACATAATGTCAAAAACAAAAACAAAATATTTGTTTGTAACGGTTATTCGAGAATTATTGTCCGAAAAAAATAACCCAACTCTGATTGATATTTTGGACATACTGCTCTTCATTATGCTGCACTTAACAGACGGATCAATTTTTTGCCATTTTATACACATTTGGTCTTAACTGAATACCAAAGATACTAATGTTGACTACTTTGTTTTGATTTTTTAATTGGCTGTACTGGCCAACTGCTTTATATAAGCATAGATTATATATATTAAATTGCGCCATGTACCATGTTTTTTAAAATGTAATATTCCTTTGAAACTTTAGGAAACGCCCTTATATCTGGCTGCATATGAAGGCTATTTAGATCGTTTAGCGCAAACAGTGAGTTCGGTGATCCAAGTATGTTTGCAAGGAGAGAATATTGAGATATACAGTTTTTACTATTCGTATTTGGAATTATAGAATTTTCTAGCTTACTTGCCGTTGAATATGGCAAAAGAAGAAGTACATTGTCTTATTTTAGAGGTGTTTTTTGGATTCTAACAAAATTTTTTCGAACTGATTCTGTTGAAGCAAATATATTTTCATATGCATGTATAACTGCTCATATCAAATTTATATTTTTAAAACATTTTACTTTTAATGATTCTACTAAAATTTAGTGAGATCATTATGGCTTAACTTACTTCTATTCAATGATATAAGTTTATACATAGACAAAAAAGAGGATGGTAAAAGCAATAGAGTAATAAATGAAAATTAAAAGTATGTTCAGATCCATAGTTTCTCTTTGTATATACCCTGCTTAAATGTTTTACCTAAATTATATAAGCACATCAAAAAAATTTTAGCAAAATATAAATCGAAGCTGAGGTCCCACATTCTAGTTGCATCTTCTCAAGAGAATATTTCGTTGATTTCATCAAGCATTGCTATTGGGTTGAATGAAAATTATACGGAAGACATTGGTGACATCGATGACGGAAGACATTTTTTCAATAGCTATCATTCAATAGATATGTTCAATTAGAACTGGTTATATGAATATATATATATATATATATAAAGAAATTGGGAGCCAGATAAGTAACATACATATATATATATATGTATGTATATATTGTATTAATAAATGAAATGATCTTCCATTCTATGATAATCTATCGGATAAAAATCTTTGCTCCAATATTATTGTGATAGTAAAAAATTCTACTAAAATCTTTTGATATCATTTATCTTGTTTTCGATTCGTATATTCGTGCAATTTTTTTTTAATAATATGGTTTCGAAATGATTGTATGCCCAAATGACCCAAATAATTTTACAATAACTGCTCGATATCTTGACATTTCCTGCAATTTTCAACTCAATTAAAATAAGTAAATTCCGGAATAGCAAGTGAACAATTGTTGAATTCAGAAAGGAATTTATTATTTTCATCGAGTTAGTAGGGATGACGAATGAATAATGATTAGAAACGTAGAATTTTGAATTAATTAAAAACAAAGTTTTTTTTTTGTTTTCAAAAATTTGTTAATATTAAAAGTTTGTTGAATATCATTTGTTATCGAAAAATACGTGATACAACTGTGACTAATTTTATTGAGAAATCCGCGATACAGCTGTACGCCACTTCAATAAAGCTTTAAACAGTATTTGCATAAATGATTCATTTTTCACCTTTAAAAACAGAATTTAAAATCCCACGTATTGTGAAAGTTGGGGTTCAGTTCGAATATAACTTTCATACGCTCAAACACCTTTCTTGTTTGGTATTGTAGTTGGTGTGGATGAATGCATTGAATGATAGGTCTGTTGTAACGATTTTACTTGCTAACGCCCACAATATATAGATATTAATCTAAAGCAATAATATTGACAATTTCGTAGAATGTATCTACGAATAAGATGAAAATGTATAGATGGATAAACTGATGGGGAAATGAACTGAATTTGTGAGCGTAAGGAAAGCTTATTGGTAAGGAAAAGCTTATTGGTAACTTATTGGTAAGGAAAAGCTGATAAAAAACTGATTAAGACAAAGGATTTAAATGCTTATATATAGTGAGTGTCAAGTGATCTATGCTCTTTATATAGTAAGAGATGGGTTTCAATATTTTAGTTTCCCAAAGAATGGCTATTAGCTTAGAAGACCTTAACAATATTTCGACATTGCAAGTACATTTCATTTGAAACAAAGGAGCAACATATTAAACAATGCACATACCTTTTATTATCAGATGAAAATGTCTGGGCAAGCAGATAAACTCAAATACTATGGGAAGATGAGCGTTGGAATAATGATTGCTTACATAATGTATAATTGAAACAGTTTTACATTTCTAATGTTTAATTAAAATGAATTTTAGTATTATAGATCAATACCATTTTATTTGATATAATTTGTAAATTATGTAGAGGTTCGCGCGATTATTTTTGAATTTCGCTACAAAAATCTTCAACAACTCCCTTTTTCCAGCAAAACAAGAAAATAAGATACCTGTCGTGGAATGTATTAACTGCCAGATATTTTATTTTAAGTCAAACCTGTAATTAAACCAACAAATCAAATTATAACAACGCGTAACGAAAGATATAATATAATTATAAAACATTAAAATGATATCAAAAATCAAAATGTAGAATGAATAACTGTAATGGAGGATGGTTGGTTTATATGCAGAACTGAATTTAACTGATTTAACATTCAACTGGTATGAAACAAAGATTGCTAATAAAGGGCTTTGCTAACAAAGGGTTTTTGCTGTGTGAGAAAAAGGAATTAGCATAATGGCTTGAATGATCTAGACACAGTTTAGTTACAAATGCAAAATTATTGGACATTGTCTTATCAGACAATGTCCAATAATTTCTGTCAGAAGTTCTAGAATTTGAATGCAATTTAAATGTATCGTTTTTTACGACAATACCTGAACATTTAAGAATTTATCTTTACTGAATAAATGGACAAAAAACTGCTTTCAATTATTAAACACATCAAAGAGAATATGAAAGCGGACATGAGTGTGATTATCTTAATCACATTCAAATCATCCCACAAACAGTGGGACCATTTTTCCTAAATCATTTGAACAGACATAGTTAATCTTTGAAACATATGAGCTCTTTTTCCAATACTTTGGAATAAAACTTTCGTCAAATGGCGCACTTCATCTGCATGTAATCACAGTGCCAAATCACATTAGCTACCATAAATAGCCTAAATTAATCGATTATATTAATGACCTGGATGGAATACACCGGTCATACAGATCCAATTTTATTAATCCTTTCATTTATATATGAATGAAAAGTGGTCATAAGGACTGATCTAGAGTGGTAGTTGGCAGTGGTAGTTGAACTAAACCACAGAAAGTAAGGAACATTAGGTGATTTTGTGTCTTCCTGTGCTCTTTCCTAAATTTTCTGAATTGACTCTGCAGTCCATTTGTAAATACGTATTTGGGTTCGTCGTTCTTTCAGTGACGTTTCATCAAGAGTCAATTTTCTGAAATAATTACATAAGTTCTCTTAAAAAAGAAACTACTATTTCAATGATTTAAAGTATCAGTTTCAAGTAACTTAAAATTCTCTTTTTTTAAGATATATCTGCAATTATTAGCCTGCTTTCTGAAATTTAAAAAATAAATAGCTAACTGATAACGTAAACTAACATTCATCCATTTTTCTCGTCTAACAAGTAATGCTAAATTAAGTTACTTTGATGTAGTTCCTGTTCTTCGATATCCACTGTGTGTATGAAATCGATCGCAATGGGAATGATAGGCAGAATTTAAATACAATAGCGGTCTGGAAATAGCCAAAAAAAAATACATAACGAAATGAAAATTTTAAACGTTTTTTACCAAGCAAGAAGAGAAATTCTAAGTTTAGAGAGAGAAAGAGAGAAAGGAATTTTGAAACATAAAATATAATAAGTTCGAAGATGTATGCTTTCATGGAAAATTAACTACAATTTACTCAAATGCAGAAAGGTAATTGCTAAAACAAACTAAATTTTCGTTAGCAAATTACTGCAGCTATTATTAATGACTTTAAATTAAAATGTAAAGCTTAGAGTTTACTTTAAAAATAAATTATAGAGTTATGAAAGAACAAAAATCCAAAATTGAAACTAACCCACTCGGAATTTTTTTGTTGTGTACATCTGCAGCTATTTCTTCACAATCACACAATACCCATAACTTATCGGAACCAAGCGGCGATGAGCGACCCATCATCATAAAAAAATATCTCTCCTGGTAACCAAAACTAGTCATGTGCTGTCGCTAAAAAAAGAGCAGTAAAAAAATGCTAGGTAACAGAATATATAAATATATTTTAAGTCATAGCATAATGAAATATGAAATCTACTATCTTTTATTAATCTTCCATGATAAAATGACTGAAGAAATGTTGATATATTGCTTGAACAGCAATAAAACAATCTGTTTTTAACAGTTCAGAAAATAACTGTTTTTACAAGAATTTGGATATTTCATACTCTGATAGAATGCACGAATATTCAGAACATACAGGAAGTCCACGAAATCGATTATTTTGAACGGTGGAATGCCTGACTGTGACAGAGCATTTGAAGCTGCTGGTTCAATACCTATTCGACATCGAATTATCGTATGATAGAAAATAATTGATGTGGCCCGAGTAATGATGGATCTTTTGCACATAAATTAATCAATTTCTTCGAAGTTTTAACTGATTTTCGGAATTTTGAACGTTCAACCACCATTGCATCTCAAACAATTCTATTTTAAGAAAAACTATTTTCAAAGTATCATAAGCAATCGAACAGAATAGCCAAAAACATTAGTTATACAAAATTTCCAATATTTTTTACTTTAAGAAGCAGGTTAAAATTACAGATCTGCGGTTTTCCATCAATCTATAAAACTTCAAGATAATCAAAATTCCTATTCAGTATTACCGTTAGAAAAAGCAATTGCTATTATGGTTTTCTGAATGAAAGACATATGGCATAAGATATTTAATAATCCTATTATTTAATACATTTACTCCTTCTGAATAACCTCGGTGCAGAATAAAATGTAATAGTGATATTTTGAAAAATCAAACAAATTGTTATGGAATGTAAAAGGATTTCACGGAAGAAGTTTGAGGAAGTTGCACACATTTTGGAATACAATTCATGATTTCAAAAATGTCAATTGATAAAGAAAATAAAAATGCTTTTGGGAAAAGTGATGTACTGTCCGCTAATTCTAATTACTAGTTAAAGCGATCGGATTTCTTTTAGTTTTCGAAATAGACTTGATTTTCCTTTTCCATGGATTTATGAATAAACTTTACTATGCTTGTGACTACTTGTGATTATTTTGACATGTGACTGTGTTGAATTTCTCTTGATTAAGAAATAGTATTTAATTTTTGTAAGCACTCCTGCAAATTATGTGATATGGAATGAAATTTCTGGGAAATTTCGGTGGTAGGTGGAGGAAGTTATCGCACATCATCAATGCATAGTTGTAAAACAATGAAATTATTCAGTCATCGAAAACAGAGGGGTTGTAGATCTAGCAAAGTGGTTTATTATTGGATAGTCTAGTTCTAGCACATTTTCTGGTGTTTGCAGACCAAGTACCTTGTTGGTCAAGGACAAGGTGATTTGTGTGCAAAAATTTTATGATGCGGTCAGAAGTTTAATGCTCATCCTTTACGATACCCAGTGTGAACTCAAGTTCTTGAAATGTTGGTCGTCGAGATGGATTTTCTTCCCAGCAACGTATCATTAATTTTTTCACCTTCATTGGCGCTTTCTAAAAATAATCTAGTCACTTTCATTTGAAGAAGTCACTGCATATGTTAATTGATAATGTGCTACTGAAAATAAATTCCAGTATTTTAAGATATATCGTTCTTTGCATAATAGTATACATACAATTTGTTGGAATTGTGCAAATAAGGAATACGAAATGATACCGTTATAGAAAAGCAACCTTTGGAAGTGGCAAGCGTCTTTGACTGTGGATAACAAACGACCGGATTTCCAAGTTTGATAGACCTCGATAAGGTATATCGCCGTCTTCATAAATTTCCCACATCTCAAATTTTGTTGAAATGAAACGATAAAAGCCAACCGAAAAAAGAGTATCTGCAGTGTCGTAAGTAATCTCTTTAAAAATGACAGAATCTGAAGTATTAGTGTAATACACTTCGTCTAAACAATACATGATTAAGGCTCTTTCTTTATGACTAAGAAAAATTATTTTTAACGTTACTAACAGAGAAACTTCAAGAATGCCAAAAGCGTCACTGATGGAGGAACTTACAAGGACGCCAAAAGCCCAGACGTCGGTCTCCTTAGAAAAGTCGTGTCTCAACATAGTTTCTGGAGCCAACCACCCTACAGAAATACTCTCCAAAGGTTCCTTATGAATAAATAGTGGGCACCGGTCTGATCCAGCATAGCAAAAATTAGCCAATTTCAACTTCATATTTCTATCGATTAGACAGTTCTCTGCTTTCACATCTCTGAATTATAATTTCGAGAGATTTTCGAAATTAATACACCAATCAAAATTTTATCAGTTGTCCTCGCTCATCGCTTTTTACATTCACTGAAGAAGTTTTTGCTATTCCCCTATTTTATTTTGGGATTTTATAATAACTTTTTTAATTGACCTGAGAAGCATTTTAAAGTACGCTGAAAAATAAGGAAAGAAAAAGTGAACCAAATAAAATACATTACTTTTGTGGCACATCAATATCACCAGTAAATCTCGAGATTTCGAAAAAAAAAAACTAATCACTTATGGACATATCCTTTCTCAGTGAGATATTTCAGTGCAGCGGCTGCTTCGGCTGCATAGCGTGCTTTCTGGTCTTTTCGAGCTTCTTTTTTTTGTAAAAATGTTAGCAATTTCACTAAATTTTCAATTTGTATTTTCATCCCCAATGTGCATTCTTATTTTGAATACTTGACGTGTCGACAAAAATCATTTAACTCATTTCAGATGTTATAGCCTTATCTGTTCCAATTTTTTAAATAATTTTCGGGGTTATAGTTGTACGTTACAAGTTATGCAATTTCCAGAAGAAAACTTCCACAATTATAAAATATTTGAGGAATTATAAAGTATACGTCATAAGTATTAAGTAATAGATTATAGGTTGTAAGTTATAGCCCTTAACTACGGAATAAGCAGTAATATGGTCATAGATTATAAGTAATAATAGATTGTAGGTTTGAAGTAATCTTACGTCAATCTCAAAAAAAAAAAAAAATTGCAGCTGTAAAATATAAAATATAAATTGTAAGTTACACGTTTTGGCTATAGGTTACGATTTATAACCAACGATAATTAAAAACGAAATTTTCTTACTTTGACAAAGTCCAACAATCATTGTAAACGGAAGAGCTGTAATAATAACACCATAAAACTGTAAAATATTCGGATGTGATAATTTTTTCAGAATGCGAGCTTCAGCCAAGAATTGCTTCCTACTTTCTATTACTAACTGCTTACTTGTAAGCAGCATGGCTGCAGCTTGAATTTTTTCTTTTTCAACACAAACAAGCACTTCATAAGTCTGAAAGAAAAAGAATGAGAAAAAACAAGTGCATTTGTTCAGATTAGTATGACGACTAGTAAAGAAATTTTATGAAGAACTAACTCTCATCCGGTAACATTCAGAAATATCTCTGAGCAACCGTACAATACAAGATGGCATCAAATTCCAAGATGCAAGAAAAATCGGATTCTTCAAAACAATTTGTTTCGGTGTCACGGGCGTCTTCGTATTTTGATGCCAATGTAGTAGTGAACCTATACTATGATCCTGAAAAACTATTATATTGGACCTGTGACAGGTACATAATCACTATCTGTATTTAATTAGAGGTAAAAGGTTCTTTAGTATCTATCATCAAATTTATTTCCAAAACGCAAATTAAAACTTCAGCTTTAATAATTATCATTTTCCAAAAAAAAAAAATAGGCTCACAAAACGAACTTTATAGTCATCATTGAAGAAATACAATTTATTCATGCGATTAATACATACTGTTATTACTTCACCATTGTGGTAAACAGAGAGGACACAAACGAGATGACCTAAATTATTCTTTTTCATTGTTTGAATTTCAATGCTACAAATCTCGTGTTTTATTCTATTCAGTTGCATCATTTAAAGTTTTCAAAGTTTGAGGATAGCTTTAAGTTCGGAATTGAAATTATCTTTACTAATAATTAAAACGTTAATAAATCTCCGATTTTAATGAAACTACCAGCAAAATTTTGAGCAACAGTGAAAAACAATTTTACCTTTATAACCCATTAGTCGAAGTAAGTAATCACCCTCCTTTGTGAGTACTGTTTTCGCATCTGCTAATGGCATATAACCATGAAGTATTTTTCGATTGCGCAAATCCGGATCCATCCGTTCCTCGAATATCCGAACAGTTGACGTAGACATTTTTTTTCCCAATATATATATATTATTCTTATTGCAGCTGCCTGATAAGATAAAAGAACGAAGCTATACTAAACCGTTCCACTTAACAATAAAAAATACAATAAATGTAAAGAAAAATTATATTTTATTTTAAAACAATCAACCCACCATCTTAAACATCATACTCTAAGATTAGTAACTAACAGTAATAAATAAAAAATTCCCAGAAATTTTTTTCAGGAATTTTTTTAATAACTATTATACAATGTTAAGATTAGTTAGTAAAACACTGAAGAAGGAATATGTAGCTTTGCTGTCATTGAACTTTACTCCAGAGTACTTTTCTAGTTCTCTTACTAACTAAGCTGTTCTAGAAATAGCAATAAAACTTTAGCTTGATAGTTGAAATCTTTGGACTCTTCATAAAGCATAAGAAACAAATTATAATGATTTAAAAATTTTTATCTTACAACTAGACAACGTCTGAATCGATAGGAAGAATAAACTTCACAAATAAATGAAAAAATGACAATTGCAGATGTATAAAGGCGCAAATATTTTAGAGAATTGAGTCTTTGGTCAGAGTGTTAGCAGGAATTTTACCAAGCCATTCGAAAAAGTGCACATACATCTACGAAACATTAAATTAAAAGAAACACCAAATTAAAGAAGACATCAAAGCAATCTACCTTTTTTAAATTTGACAAAATTACACTGTCGCTTACAAATGAATCTTAAAAAGATTTCTAAACGATCAAAAAAATTCATTTAGAAAAAAAATCGACACTTTTTTAAAATCATCAAAAATATGTCAAAAGTACAACAGCATTTATAATATTTAATATAATGTAATACAGCAGTGACTCTTCAATAGAACAATATTGTAAAAGAGTTACTTGAATTCAGTAGGTAGTGATATTATGATAGCCGTATTCTACATAAACGGAAGCTTCAACCTTCATCCAATATATTGGAAAATTATTAAAGAATTACTGATCAGTAACGATTCGATTACAATTCATTAATGAATAGTACTCCATTTCCAAAGAAAACCTAACTTGCAATTTCTACTACCTCATCTAACCAATTGTTTCCTGGTAGACCTGTCGCGAAACTCGAAACAATCTCGCGAACCTCCACATAATTTACAAATTATATCAAATAAAATGGTATTGATCTATAATACTAAAATTCATTTTAATTAAACATTAGAAATGTAAAACTGTTTCAATTATACATTATGTAAGCAATCATTATTCCAACGCTCATCTTCCCATAGTATTTGAGTTTATCTGCTTGCCCAGACATTTTCATCTGATAATAAAAGGTATGTGCATTGTTTAATATGTTGCTCCTTTGTTTCAAATGAAATGTACTTGCAATGTCGAAATATTGTTAAGGTCTTCTAAGCTAATAGCCATTCTTTGGGAAACTAAAATATTGAAACCCATCTCTTACTATATAAAGAGCATAGATCACTTGACACTCACTATATATAAGCATTTAAATCCTTTGTCTTAATCAGTTTTTTATCAGCTTTTCCTTACCAATAAGTTACCAATAAGCTTTTCCTTACCAATAAGCTTTCCTTACGCTCACAAATTCAGTTCATTTCCCCATCAGTTTATCCATCTATACATTTTCATCTTATTCGTAGATACATTCTACGAAATTGTCAATATTATTGCTTTAGATTAATATCTATATATTGTGGGCGTTAGCAAGTAAAATCGTTACAACAGACCTATCATTCAATGCATTCATCCACACCAACTACAATACCAAACAAGAAAGGTGTTTGAGCGTATGAAAGTTATATTCGAACTGAACCCCAACTTTCACAATACGTGGGATTTTAAATTCTGTTTTTAAAGGTGAAAAATGAATCATTTATGCAAATACTGTTTAAAGCTTTATTGAAGTGGCGTACAGCTGTATCGCGGATTTCTCAATAAAATTAGTCACAGTTGTATCACGTATTTTTCGATAACAAATGATATTCAACAAACTTTTAATATTAACAAATTTTTGAAAACAAAAAAAAAACTTTGTTTTTAATTAATTCAAAATTCTACGTTTCTAATCATTATTCATTCGTCATCCCTACTAACTCGATGAAAATAATAAATTCCTTTCTGAATTCAACAATTGTTCACTTGCTATTCCGGAATTTACTTATTTTAATTGAGTTGAAAATTGCAGGAAATGTCAAGATATCGAGCAGTTATTGTAAAATTATTTGGGTCATTTGGGCATACAATCATTTCGAAACCATATTATTAAAAAAAAATTGCACGAATATACGAATCGAAAACAAGATAAATGATATCAAAAGATTTTAGTAGAATTTTTACTATCACAATAATATTGGAGCAAAGATTTTTATCCGATAGATTATCATAGAATGGAAGATCATTTCATTTATTAATACAATATATACATATATATATATATGTATGTTACTTATCTGGCTCCCAATTTCTTTATATATATATATATATATATTCATATAACCAGTTCTAATTGAACATATCTATTGAATGATAGCTATTGAAAAAATGTCTTCCGTCATCGATGTCACCAATGTCTTCCGTATAATTTTCATTCAACCCAATAGCAATGCTTGATGAAATCAACGAAATATTCTCTTGAAGATGCAACTAGAATGTGGGACCTCAGCTTCGATTTATATTTTGCTAAAATTTTTTTGATGTGCTTATATAATTTAGGTAAAACATTTAAGCAGGGTATATACAAAGAGAAACTATGGATCTGAACATACTTTTAATTTTCATTTATTACTCTATTGCTTTTACCATCCTCTTTTTTGTCTATGTATAAACTTATATCATTGAATAGAAGTAAGTTAAGCCATAATGATCTCACTAAATTTTAGTAGAATCATTAAAAGTAAAATGTTTTAAAAATATAAATTTGATATGAGCAGTTATACATGCATATGAAAATATATTTGCTTCAACAGAATCAATTCGAAAAAATTTTGTTAGAATCCAAAAAACACCTCTAAAATAAGACAATGTACTTCTTCTTTTGCCATATTCAACGGCAAGTAAGCTAGAAAATTCTATAATTCCAAATACGAATAGTAAAAACTGTATATCTCAATATTCTCTCCTTGCAAACATACTTGGATCACCGAACTCACTGTTTGCGCCAAACGATCTAAATAGCCTTCATATGCAGCCAGATATAAGGGCGTTTCCTGAAGTTTCTCGTTTCATTTTATTTTTCAATTCTCGATTTTTTCTTAAAAAAATGCTAACCAGTCATAAACGATAAAAAACAATTTGCATATGCATTATGATAATATTTGAAAAAATATTAAAATATTATAGTATGGATTTTATTCATTCATGTATTCATTATTTTCCATCAACTATCAGTGATCAGTTCTTTTTTCCTTTTTTTTGCTTTGATTGATTATATCAAGATATGCTTCAATTGCTAATCATTGGTTATATTATCTATGAGATTATTCGCTTGTCGAATTTACCGGATGCTGGGAGTTATGTCACATCACAACAGTCACGACAGTCAATTCCGGTTTCTTCTTTTAAATTCTGTTTTTACGTGTTTTCTTCCTTGAAATTTCGATATGATTGCTTAGTTATCTGAAAAGGAAATTTTACATTTTTTTGATAATTTTGAAATGGCGAGACTATTAGAATGTGAATTTATGATAATTTGAAATAAATTCTTGTATGGCAAGAATTTCACTTCTGAAATTCTAAAATCCTAGAATGAATAAAAGTAAAAGACTGTTTATAAAATACTAGAATAACAAAATTGCTATTTTATAAAACGAAAAGTATAGCAATTAAAAAGTTTTGATTTAAGGAGTTCATTAATCCTTATCAGATGAACTTTATCAAATGCTTTAATGAATAATTAATTTAAATAGTAAAAGAAAAAATTTAATTCGTTTCTTTCGATTACTTTATTATCGTTATTTATCCATTCATTTTTTAGCCCGAAAAGAAAGCAAAATAATTGAATGTGATGAAAAAGAAAAAAGAATGAATTGAATATATTCATATATGAATCATAAATTTTATTCTTCTATTTTAACGTATATTTTTTTCTAAATATTCAAAGAAATTTTTAAAAAAAAAAAGAAATAAATTTTATGCTCATAAATAAACAAAGTGTTATGAAATAAAACAAATAGCGAGATTTGCGTTAAAAAACATCTGTAATTATGTAATGAAGTAAAAATAAAAACAAAAAAATTGTTTAGCATATTTGTTTTCTGATGAGATAACACTTAAACATCTAAATGAAACTAAATGAAACCCGTTTTTATTATGCGAATTAATTATTTATGCAAATTAATTAATTCATTAATTTGCATAAGTAAGCTTTGACTTATTCATTAATTAGCAACATCTTTTCCTCTCTTTTTCTTTTATTGCGGCTAGTAATTCACTATGATATATATTTTAATAATTAGCATAAAATTTTTTGAGGAAAGAGTTTTCATTTATGATTATTTTTCTTATATGATATTGAAAAGTGATGGAAGATAAAATCACATTGGTAAAGCACCAAGAAAATAAAATGACATCAAAAATTAAATTAGTTATATCTACTGAAATAATAAACCTAGCCGAAAGCAATAACAACTAAGCCGATTAGAACGGTTTTTGTAGCATTTAAATAATTTACTCCCGGTTCACTCTTGAAACGAATTTCTGCATACTGTCCGGTCGGTAATTCTGATTTTCTGTAAAGGGTTAGGAAGTCAATTTTGAAAGTATTTGCGAGGAGTAAAGGAAAGTTAGTAGGGAGAGTGGTCAACAGGAATTGATCGGATTGCGCGAGATATTTTGATTTAACAGGTTAATTGCGAAAAAGGTTACATTATTGTATTGAAGGTATAAATTAACTTATCCTAGATGTCACTCTTTATGTTTCATGTAGAACCATGCCGGTGGTTTCAGTGGTTAAATCTGTAGCTAAAATTGCAGCTGCTTGAAAATTATGATATCAGGAGATTCTCGATGCTCATGCTGGCTGACGAGTACCATCGATTGGGAAGGTTGGTTACTAACTTTTTGCAGCAACTAAGATTTGACATTTCATGAACATTTCAGAGTTTAGCAAAATTGTTTGCAAATTCTCACATCGCACTATATCATCCGTTTATTACGTGTTCCGGTGATTCCCAATTTGGAGTACTTTTCATTAATGGTATTTAATTTGTGTTGTGTTGATAGTTCTCATTGCATAATGTATAATAGCATAATGTATGATAGTTACGTATTGTTATTGCAGGGTTGAAGCGATTCACTACGAAATTCGATAAGTAGCGTATACGATCGTTTTTCAATATCCTCACGTTGATTTTGTGATGTTGTTAAAGAATAATTCATCAAATATGCTTATTTATGAGCGTTTACGTTTACTGCTGTGTGGTATACGATAAATTGCAAATTAGCATACTCTGACAGGTACGACAGAAAGAACTTCCTTACGTTGTTGGGAAACAACCAAATATAAGTGGTACAGCAATCAAATGAGATTTGAGACTAATTTGCTTCGTAAGTTCTTAAAGAATAATTCATTAAATATGCTTATTTATGAGCGTTTACTTTTTATCTGCGTCCGAGACACTGCGTCCGAGATATCTCGTTCCGACTTGTGCTTGTATCATGGATGCTCAACTTCTTCGCGAGTGTTGTATTACCGAGCAAAGTAGGATCCCACAGATTATCGTTAGATCGACAACATAGAAGATGATTAGAGGACAGAGAAGATCATACGGTCCAGGCGTCATCAAGGTGCTTGTCTCGCCTCAATGCAGAATAGAATATACGACACGAGCAATAGTACGAGAAGCCATCATTGCTACTTTGATTATTACTGCATTGTCAAGCTGGTTTCTAAGTTATGCCTTTCAGAGATATCCACATACATTGCTTAATTCATAGTGTTATGCTCGGTTTACGAAGTGTAGCCGAACATAGAGTATGTCGTGAAGGGTTTGTTGGTTGATATTCGAATTGTTTGCAATACAGTAGAAAGATTAATAAGCCTTTATTTTTCGCAAACGTAGTATTAATAAACAGAGCAGTAAAAGGAGAGAAGAAACTTATAATAAAGAAGATCTGAGGAATTGATATTGGTTAATAGAGAGTAGTCGACAATAATAACAATGAATAATTTTATTTATTAGAATTGAATTTATATAAGTGAGGATTGGACGTGTCTAAGACAAAATCATGTGTTAAGAATTGGAAGTGTTTACAAATTTACTTAAAATCACATGAGTAATAAATCTTAAGAAACTAGATTTAAGGAGAGATTGTTTATGATATTATGGGATTGTTTAAATTAAAAAATGATTAACTTTATTGGTTTTAAATCTTGAGAAACTAGTTTTATGAGGAGTTTTATGATATTATGAAATTAGTTACAAATTGAAAAATGATTAATTAGTTTTTATTAATTTTCCTTCTTATTATTTTAGAAGTTTTCGCGAAATTATAATTCGCGAGAGAGTGTAGATGTAAACTTCGACTAAAAATGACTGCATTTTCAACCTTGTTTACTACTCTCGTAGTATTTATCATTTCTATATGTTTGTGTGATTAAGTTTATCATGGAGAAATCATTTGTTGGGAAATTCGTGGTGATTCATTTCTTCAACAACTTATTCAATATTGTTAGAGATCCAGGTAAGAAAAATCAACATCTGTTTCCTACATTTTATCATTCATTTCAATTTTAAACAGCAAAGAGAACGAAAACCTTTCATTCTTCCATCTTAATTCGCTCAGTGATATTTATACTCGGTAAACCTAGTATTAATATGTAATATGGATTATATGAAAATATAGATTCCAGGTAAGAAAAGTCAACGGATAAGAATTCATCAACACATAGCGCGAGGTTGTGAACAGGCTGGAAAAAATCACAGATACCTGAAAGCGATGAGTGCTCTTGTATGTATATTAATTATAGTGCGCATGATTTTCATGAATCATGTGCGAGAATAGATGCTACTTTACATAGCAATGTAAGTGTTCGAGATCATGGCGATATCACTGTTGTTATTGATTATCATGATCCTTTCTCCTTCTACTGGCAGTTAGATCAAGCAAGACCTCGAATGGATGAAACACTCAGGATGATCAGATGGAAAATGAATTTCCACCTACTAAATCTTTACTTATCTCTTGTGCTTAACATATGTAAGCGCCTTAGGTACGTTTCATGTTATAATGACGAACCATTAATTAGCTTTTTTTTAGGCTCCTTATCTTATTATTTTTTATACTTCTTATTATCTTATTCTTGGGCTGCAATGTTTATTTAGGGTTTAAGGTTAAAATCTATCGAGGAGTGTAATAGCTAACGGTTGAGAACTCATCTGATTAAAATTGACCGGTCTAGTATATTTTTCGTTCGAAAGTTCTATTTATTTAGCAATGTAGATTGTATAAGATTTAAAGTGCTTAATCTTTATTTAAAACTTTACTTTACTTGAAGTGCTTAAAAATCAGTCATTAAAGTCATTTAAGTCAGGATCTATGCTAGCTGGAGGTGGATATATAAATGAAGCTCACGACAGTAAAACCATATCATTAATTTCTACATTGAAAGATTGCTTGAAAGTGAGCAAAAAAAAAAATTAATTAAATCAAAATTTACGTTTTTTTATAGGTGATATACATTATTTCTAACATTGTTGGCACTTAATTAAAACTTAATTTAGCAGAATTAGAAATTTTTCAGTTTTAAATTTATAAAAACACTTAAAAATTGTCGAAATTTCCTGCATGAAAAATCTTCATGAATGTATAATGCTCGGACATGTCCTTTGTGACTGTCTTTAAGACAAATAGTACATTTCTTTAATACCTTGAGATGATTCAGTCGAGCAGTGAGAATAGTGTAGATCTCACGATTACAATCCCAATGATTTCGACTGCAGAATTTACATGGTCTTCTTTTCTTTATTGTAATTTTCGAAATATTTTGATTGCCTTTTATTATCGACAATGCTGAATGCTCCTCCGAGATTGTATCGTCGTTTATGCTCAGGTTTGGTAATTAGATTTAATATTGATTTGAGTGAGTGAATGTTGGCAGTTTCTAATCTGCTCATTATTCACATTAACGAAATTTATGCTCATTATTCACATTAACCAAAAAGTTCCTTAATTTGAGAATTATCCTTTTTCCTTCGTTTATATTTTATTTAATATCCATGATGGTAATTTATTCTTGATCAAAATTTCGATATTGAATGTTTCCTAACTGGCGCAACACTCGTTCTATATTTTCAATATTTTAAATCCATTCTCTTTCATTTCTTTTAATGAATTGTAGTTCATTATATAGTATGATGTCGTTACCATTGAGTAATCGCCATATTTTTCATTTAGCAGTCTTCTTATAACTTGGTGTTACATCATATCCAGATATTACTTCTAAAGCTTTTCCTTGAGTCATGAGTACAAATAATTCAGTTTTTGTATTTCTGGAATTGTTTGTCAATTGTAGAGTAAGTCGTTGTTTATTTTTAAAATTGCTTACTTTCGTAAAATTAAAGGTAGTTGGATCAGATACTCGAATATTTATGATGCAGTAGTGAGATTAACGTATCTTTCTTCTTATGAAAAGTATAATACCAATAATCTGAGCAGAAAAATTAGATTTAAAAAAAAAATTAGATTTTTTTAAGATTTTTTTTTTTTTTTTTAAGAGGAAAGGAGTTGAATTTTGATTATGACGGTTATAGTCGGTAACAAACCATCTTGTTCAATACTGTTGTATTAATATGTGTAAAACCTACGATAAGATTAATGAGACAAGAATATGAGATGTTTATATTAAGATAACGGGTTAAGTATGCGTGGGTAGATTACATGTGTCGTGAAAGACGAAAGATTTAAATTATTATATCCAAAACTAACAAATTACTCTTATCTGATTCCTTTTCCTCACACAACAAAAACCCTTTATTAGCAAAACCCTTTATTAGGAGTCTTTGTTTCATATCATTTAAATGTCCTCCTCTGCGGAATATCTGGTCAGTTCAGTTCTGTATATAAACTAATCTTGTTAACAATCTTCTTTGTTCATCCATGAGAAATCCTCCCATCTAATCTCCATTCGTTAAATCAGTCTTATATATACACCAACCAATCCTTCTATAACTGTTGTGAATGGATTGGATTGGGTTGGTTTACTTGCACAATTGAGTCGAGTGCTCAATCTTGGGTAATTAAACCAAACAAGCAATCAGTAGTAGGACAATTTAGTGAGGAGGATGAACTAAGCAACGGGGAGACTGGGAAGACTGACCTGGTTGAGTGGTAATTGCCCTTATATAGGATGATTTGAGGGTGGAGAGATAAAGCGATTGATAAAATGGAAGCTAGCAAGAAGGCTATGGGAAAGATAGTTTTTGTAAACGGAATTAGATAACAAATAAGGATTGGAACAGATGTGCATTAGATAATATGACAGATTAGCATGGGAATTTGTTAACACATTACCATCTATGAGTCATTAAAGAATTTGAATTACAATAAAACTTACAATAAATGATTAACATGATTTGCTTAAATATAAATACATTGATTTAAATTTGACCTTTTGCTAAATTCGATTGTTCTGTACAAAGATTATTTCTAGTGGAATTTCGAGCTTGTTCTCGACACTCCCGAGGGAAGAGCGAAAAGTATTCTAATGGATAGATTTGGGGTTTATAGGATAAAACATTGTGATCCTCAACACTTTCTAAACCTTGATTATGGGTAGTACAAGTTTGAATTAAATGTAAAGGGATGGTGGTAGATATTTTTTGTCTGTTTCTAGATTTTCTAAGACATATGAATCTTAAGATTGAGATAACCAATTGAAATTTCCATCTAAGAATAATCAGCACGACTAACAACGCAAAGACAATTATCGCAAACATAATCAATCGCCAATGCCAAGTGAGATCCGAAAGTTCCTTTTGTATGGCCTTGGTAGCTTTGCCCAGTATATCCTCCAATTGGTCTTCGAACTCTTCGCCTTGTTGATTGATTTCCTGCCAAAGAGATTCGGTAGTTTGTGTTTCGGATGCCAGCTGAACTGATTCCTGTTTATGAGCCAATATTTCTAGCTCTGCGTCTATCCGTTCATTTTCAAATTTGTTGATTATTCCGGCTTCGAGTTCGACGGTAGTTGAATTCATTTCTTTAGATTTACAAGGAGCGACCAATAATTTACCATTGATTCTCCTTGCGATGATGTCGTTTCGTTGTAATATGAGCTTCGCAGCCAGAGTTGGATTGTCGTGTGATAGCCACTCGACTAGTAATAGCAAATTATTCCGATTTTGGCAGCTTCTTTGATTGAGGATATTGAGCTCATTATTAATCTGCAGCTGTATATCGTCGAATATATACTGATATTTCAGATTTTCTGGATCAAAGGTTTCCTTGGGGCTGATTTCCAGCATGAATAGCGGTGAATTTGTTTCCCGATTCGGAAATTCTATTGCAGTCGCATGCGTTCCTTGAACCTCGTCAATGATAATTCCACCTTTCATTTGATGGGGTTTGACGAATCGACAATTCGAGGTGATTGACTTCCGTGGTGTCCCCTTATATACAAGGGAGGTTTGTAGCTTGTGGACGACGACGTGATTTTCGTATCGTTGGGCGTCAAAGGTCCCAATTCTACGATAATTGCATTCTTTAGTTGGATCCGTCCTATTCCAGAGCACAATACTGGTTTTCGTTATACATTCCCCTGCTTGTACTGAACAGTTTTCTGTATTTTCCAGATCAGATACCAGCCTCTCCCTTCATCGAGGAGTAGTTCACCCTTCATCAATATGAGGTTCGATGTGGATTGACACTTAACTCCTAGGCAACCATAGGAGTTGTATCTCGTTATTCGTGGTCCATTTTTTCGGAGAGGTTTGTACCAGGGGAACGCTGTTAACTTCCATTCGAGAGTGTAGCTTTTCACAATGATGTGCGTCCATTGCGGAAATTGTCGTCAAATCCGAAACTACTGATAATGATATTCTGAAGAATGCTTTAGTGCACACCGTTCGAGTAATGTTGGCATTTAATAGCAGGTATTCTCACATGAACATGCGTGTAGACTGTAATTCGAATCGGTGTGGCGTTACGAGTTTCAATTGTTTTGCAATTCCATTTCTGAGGCATGTTAAATGGAACACCTGATGTCCATTTGCATTCCTTCGTTTCTGCTGCTTGTAGAATTATCGATATTGCTACTGTTAACAGTAAGTTGGTTAAAACGAAATTTGACTTCTCCCTTTTTTGTAAATTTGTCTGGCTCCGTGTTCGATGAGCAATAGGTTGCTCCTCACCACTTTCACTCGAAATCTTCGTGTCAGTTGTGGTGTTTCGGTTTTGGATAATTGGTTCTGCTCTCTCTGATGGGTTCGCGGGGTTCTCCGGAGTAGACTGTTCTTCTGGAGTAACTTCAAGTGGATACAACGTGCTTACAGGTCGATTTAGAAGTTTTCCTGACGATGTTTCGATCTGAGCGCTCCTGACGTACCCATCATTGGCTACGTTTAATTTCTTTATCCTTGCTAGTTTCTATGTACCACGTGGTGCATGAGGCTCATCTAACAGTATTACTTCTCCTTCTATCGGCTGTCTCTTTTCTACATTTCTTGGAGATTTATGTTCTAATTGGTATCGATCTTTTAAGCTATTCAAGTATTCGTCTTTCCATATCTCCCAAAATGTTTTCAATGTTTCTAGGGTATTCGACCAGTGTTGAAGTAACCTTTCTTGTGTGGTTAGACTATAAGGTGAGAATTCGTCTTCTCTGTCGTTATTGCTATTCAGTATAGACAAAGAAGCATTGGGAATGATGAAGTCTATTGGTCGCAAAATAATTGAGTCGTCGAAATTTACGTAAGTTAAGGGGCGAGTATTAAGAATGCTTTCCACTTCGATAATCAGTGTGATTAGTTCCCCTTCCTTAAGCAGTCGTCTACCGATAGCTCTTC